ATAACTCTAAACAGAAGTGTTACAATTCTATTCCTAGCTTTTGCACAATTCCAAGGTGGAAAAGAACTCTCCCTTCCACTCCACCCCGTCGTTCCTTCTCGGGAGCCCCAGCCTGCCCGCCATCCCGTCGCCTCCCCCCTCCCCCCCAATAGTCCGATCTGGATCCGCCTATGACCACTGCCTGTCGGATGTCTGGAAAAATCCGTAATTCTAGTCTTTGTGAAAACGAAAAAATTTAGAAAAAAAATCCCTTTACAAACAGATGAATGTTAATACATTAATAAATCCATACATACATGTAAAAGGCAACATACAGGTTCGGCATTTTGAAGTAATGGCGCATTCTCGCGAGATGTGGTCGTGGAAGTGGAAGCTGTTGATGGATTATTTCGTTCAATTTCCGAATCCGACGAATCTGATTGCCCCGATGATAGAACTTTTCGCTTGCAAATTGGGCATACTTTTCGCATTTTTGTTAACCAAGGATCAATGCATTTGCAGTGATAAGCTGAAATAAAAAGTAAAAAAATAAAAACCCCAATATCCTAATTCTGTAATATCATCCGCTTTCCGATAGCTTTCTTCTGAGCTATCGATCCATCTAGCAAGAATTACATGGTACCACAACTACTTTTAATTAAAATACGTTGAAAAAAAAGAGGAAAACTGAGGTATCCATGCGACAAGGATGACAGATAAGAGACGGACGAAACGAACAGCCAAAGTGGTACCCACGATCCACTAAAAGAACACTACATAAGCAACGGTGTGCGGGGCCGATCCAGTAAGTGCTGTAGAAATTTTAGAGATATAAACAATGAATATTCCTGGCCAGGAAATTGGAAGAGGACGATGGAGCCTGAAATCGCGTCTATGTGTTAACATATGAAGTTTGATTAGCATTGCTGGCCCACCACCGCGGAGAGGAACACAGTCGAATTTTGATAATTAATGAAAACACAGTGGAAGTAGTGCCATTTAGATCTTCCAAATAAGCAAGCCTGTATATATAGTAACTTGGTAGATGACTAAGTTTCATTCCTAAGCTGTAAACACAGACGGCACAATCGGTAAGAAATGGAGTAGAAATCATCAGTACAGTGCCCCATTTCGCAGTCGCCGACTGCTTAAATAGAAACGAAAGTCTGAATTAATATCTGTTCTACACTGTTCAGCTGCTATACCATCACCGCCGAGTTTCTTCTGTGAAACCCTTGATAACCCTTTTTTTTTCGCTCCTTAATATCTGGAGTTTTTCCCACTCAAATAACCTCATTCAAACGTTCGAGCACATCGTTTTACCGCACTAACCGTTACTTTTCATTTAATATGGAGCACGTTTCATCCAATTTTGCTCTTCTGACAATCTTATTCTTGTCATATGGCCAGTCCAGTTCTTAATTATGGCACATGCCGACTTGGCAATATGACTGATAAAAAAATAAATAAACCATAAATTACCGTTAAATCCAAAATTTTACCGAAAAAAATTAAAAGTTACAAACCGTGGCCACAAGGTAAAATGCGTAGTTTTTCGCCTTCAACAAATTCATCAATGCAAATTGCACATGATTCCTCAGCATCACCTGAAAACTCAGTGTGCCCGCACAGTGTAAAATCTGGTACCAGAACAATAAATATCAATAAAGCGCGGAACCAATCGTTTTTGTCCACGAAGCTTTTTTGGCGCAAAATTTTCCCGCATTAGTATAAAATCAAAAAACAAGTTACAACAATTTTTTTAACATAAGAACATAGCTGACCAGGAGTGACCATTGACTGTTCAGTGGAGACATGCAAATCCTAATCACTGGTGTGAATACATGAGATGC